GCACGGCTTTTCTCTTGCACTTCTCACGTGCGTTGGCCGAGGCCCTGCCCCAGCCCCTGCCCAACCCCCTGCTGCCTCTAAATCTTGGCAGTGCAGCCTTAAGAGTCTGCTTGCTTGTTCTTGTTAGTTTGTGATTTTTGAGACAAGGTCTCACTAGGTGGCCTAGGATGGCTTTGAATTTTAGCTCCTCCTGCTTCAGCTTCCCGGGCTGGGATTCAAGCTCTGCACCACCACTGCTGGCAGCCTGCTTATTCGTGATTCTTGCATCACTGGTCCTGTGTTTTGCTTTCCTGCTGTGCACACCTGCAGCCGCTCAAGACTTGGGCCTGAACTGTGCCAAAGCTGAAGGCCCCGTGCTGTGTGTGCAGGGTGTGAACAAAGATTCCTACCTGATCCTGGAGACGCTGCCTACGGAGTATGACTCGCGCGTGAAGGCCATGGAGGTGGACGAGCGGCCTACAGAGCAGTACAGTGACATCGGCGGCCTGGACAAGCAGATTCAGGAGGTGAGTTTCCCAATTCTCCACCCATGTGCCGTGCCTCTCAGCCTCCTAGTGGCCCAGGGCGGCCCAGTACGGAAGGCAGGGTGACGTGGCAGGGTAGGGGCTCAGATTCCAGATGACAGATGATTTGGCCAAGGCTGCAGAATGCTGGGGCTCGAACCAGGTCTGACTCAGGCTCCTGTGCTTGGCCCGGTATCTCCTCCCCCAGCCTTCTGGTCCCAGAGAGGTGGTAGCCAGCTTTGGGGTATGTGGAGGGTCAGCTGCCTGTGTCCCCAAATGGGAGCAGGCGGGGTGCAGACTGGAGCCCAGGGTGTCGGGCCATAGGAGCCCTCAGGGCTTCGCGCTCCTCACCCAGGTCTTTTCCCTGGCAGCTGGTGGAAGCCATTGTCTTGCCAATGAACCACAAAGAGAAGTTTGAGAACTTGGGGATCCAGCCTCCAAAGGGGGTGCTGATGTACGGGCCACCGGGCACTGGGAAGACGCTGCTGGCCCGGGCCTGTGCGGCGCAGACCAAGGTGTGAGCCCTGTGGGGAGGACCGGGGCTGGGCGGGGGTGGGGTGCTGTCTCCTCCTCTGCCTGACCCCCCTTGTGTCCCTGCAGGCCACCTTCCTGAAGCTGGCCGGGCCCCAGCTGGTGCAGATGTTCATTGGGGACGGGGCCAAGCTGGTTCGGGACGCCTTCGCCCTGGCCAAGGAGAAAGCACCGTCCATCATCTTTATTGACGAGCTGGATGCCATTGGCACTAAGCGGTAGGGCGTGCTGGGGACTCCCAGCTCCGCCACATTCAGCTCCTTTCTGCCGTCCCCGCTTCCCCAGCAAGGGCTGCTCTGCCGTGCTTCCGGGTCCTCAACTCCTGAATCTCCTGCTCTCGAGCACCTGTCCTCCCCACAGCTGGTGGTGTGTTCCTTTCGGGACAGAAAATGGCCACCTCCCTCATGGGGACCCACAGACCCTCACCCACAGCCTACCTGGCCCTCCGCCCTCACCCGTCCCCTCGGTCCCAATCTGTACACTGCCCGGCCCCTCCTCCCCCCACCCCTGCATCCCCTGTCCCCGTCCTGCCAGTCTCGGACCACTTCTCATGCCTGCCTGGACCCCTCGGGTCCCTGCGTGGCTGTGCTGCAGCTTGGTCTGGCTGAGGCCCCGCCCGGCGCTGCTTGCATTTGTTGAGCCGCTGCCGGGTGCCTGTCCCTTGAGCCTGCTCCCGTGAGCCTGCAGGCTCTGAACGCTGCTCGCATCGGTTTGTAGACCTGTGTGGCAGTCACTGTGCCCGCACCCAGCTTGGGCACCTCCAGGATGCCCTGCCTGGCTCCTGGTAGAGGCTGTGGCCTGACAGTGTCTTGGCCTCCTGTGCCCCGCAGCTTCGACAGTGAGAAGGCCGGGGACCGGGAAGTGCAGAGGACCATGCTGGAGCTCCTGAACCAGCTGGATGGATTCCAGCCCAACACCCAAGTGAAGGCGAGTGTCCTGGGCATGCGCAGGGCCACCTCGGGTCAACAGTGAGCAAGTGTGGGAGCTGGAACCTGCACTTCTGAGCGGCGCCCGCCAGCTTCGTCACCCTGGGCTGCTTCCTGCCTCTCATGACCGCGCCGGCGTGGGTGGATACCTCGCTCGGGGCTTTAAATCGCTGCCTCTCTCCTTCCTCAGGTGATCGCAGCCACCAACAGGGTGGACATCCTGGACCCTGCCCTGCTCCGCTCAGGCCGCCTGGACCGAAAGATTGAGTTCCCAATGCCCAACGAGGAGGCCCGCGCCAGGATCATGCAGATCCACTCCCGGAAGATGAACGTCAGGTGAGCCGAGCCACAGCAGGCGGAGCCGCGCCTTCACCCACCTGGTGTCGCAGCCAGCAGGACTGCAGCTGGGGTCCAGCTCGGGACCTTGGCCTGGTTCAGAGGGTTCAGCAGATCCATGACCTGGGCTTGTGGGAAGGGTCGTATGGGGCAGTGGTAGCACAGTGCCGGGCACACGAGGACAGCAGCCGTCCTTTGTGTCATCCCTGAACCTCCTCCCCGGCCGCAGGCCCAGCTGGTCCCCAGTCCCGGGCACAGGAGGGCCTGGAGTAGCCTGGTCTGCCCTGCCCTGGTGCCGGCCAGGCTGTGGACGGGCACCTGGCTGCCACCTGGGCATGAGGCTGTGCTGCGTGGGGGCTGCGGCGGGCTTCCTGCCCCCTCCCAAGTTACAGCCCGTGGTATCCTCTCCCCAGCCCGGACGTGAACTATGAGGAGCTGGCCCGCTGCACTGATGACTTCAACGGGGCCCAGTGCAAGGCCGTGTGTGTGGAGGCGGTGAGTGGTGGGGCTGCGGGGAGGGCTGTCCAGCCGGCTTCCTCTCCCTGGACAGGACAGGCTGTCTGGCCGGGTCAGGGGTGCTGGGCTCGGGGTGCAAGGCAGCCCCCCAGACCTGTCTGTCCGGCTGCAGGGCATGATCGCACTGCGCAGGGGCGCCACGGAGCTGACCCACGAGGACTACATGGAGGGCATCCTGGAGGTGCAGGCCAAGAAGAAAGCCAACCTGCAGTACTACGCCTAGGCTGCTCGGCCGCCGGCTGCCTCGCAATAAATGGCCCATCTGCCACCTGTCTCTTTGCTGGGCTCTGCGGAAGAGTAGGGACAGGCACGCGGGCCCCTTCCGTCCCCAGCCAGCGTGGGCCCCAAGCCAGTTGTCAGGGTGAGGCCCTGGGGCCGTGCGGTGCTGCAGCTGCTGCCTGGGGCCTCCAGGGCCCCTCACCCCAAGTTCTACCTCAGCTCCCCCAGCCCTCAGAGCTGTGCAAGGCTCACTGGTCCTGCAGTTGAAAGGGCTGGAGAGAAGGGGGCGGTCCCCACCCCTAGTTGTACTGGGACGTCCTTGACCCTTATTTATTTACTGATTGATTGATTTGGTTTTTCTCCGGTACCAGGAATCAGACTCACAGCCTTGCACTTGCCAGGCAGGCGCTTTGCCCTTGAGCTAAATCCCCAGCCCCGACCTTTCTTATTTTGAGGCAGGGTCTTGCTAAGTTGCCCAGGCTACCCTCGATTTTGCAGTTCTCCTGCCTTAGCCCCCTGGTATTGTAGCTTCTTTGTGCACCTGTGAGCTCGCCCTAGTGCTTGGTGACTTGTAAAGCCAGGGCTTGAGTCTTTGTCCTTGAAATGTGCCCCTATTTCCTGGCTCGAGGGCCTCCTGTTTCCCCATCTGCCGTTAGGGCCCCATTAGCCAGTTCAGCTTTTGGCTGCAAAAGGGCCTTGCGTAGGGTCCAGTCTGATGCCCTCCGGGCTGGTCACGCTGTTCCCTCCCCAGCCCTTGGCAGCATTGGGTCACTGCAGCTCCCTGAACAGCGGGGCTGTCGCCGTCTCTGGCTGGGAACTGCAGTTTGGCCGATGAGTTTTATGTTAGCAAAATAAACCCCACAGGCTCTCCGCATGGCACAGGTGCAGCTCAGCAGCTAGGCCCAGGGGACACAGCTGTCTGCTGAGGACAGCTGTTGACGGTGCCCTGGGCCGTCTCCATCTGTGTTGCTGGCCCCGGAATGGCCCTTCAGAACTTCAGCGCTAGCCAGGAGGGGCAGAGCTCCCCCTACTTCCGTTTCCTCGACTTTTCCAGCAGCTGCTGACCTGTGGGAGGTTGGTTTTGCAGCTCTGCCTTCTGTCCCCCAAGGTCCTGGCTCATATTGACCTAGCCTGGCCGGGATACTGGTGACCCTGCAGACACCACCCCCTTCCTGGCTTCTCATACATGAAATGGACCCCTCCCTCTGTGGCTGGCACTTGCTCAGGCATGTCGGGCTAGTTGGTACCCTAGGCCAGGGCTCATGAGACTCAAGTTAGCCTTGCTGGGCCGTCCACAACCAGGTGGTGCAAACACTGACCCTTCCAATGTTCTGTCAGCGGTTGGTTTCCAGGCCTGCACCTCCTGGCCAGGTATCTTGGAGTTAGGACTGCATTGCGCCTTCAACGTATGGATCGCAACGCGAGGAAGCAGCGCCCCCTGGTGCCTGTTGTGGTCTAGCGTACTGATCTTATTGAGGTCAGACCTGATGACTTTGGGGATGGGATGCCCTTACTTGATTAAACGATTAAGGGCTCAGGGGAGGCAGGAAGCTCTCTGGCTTGTTAGGTTCACCAGTAAAGAAAACCCTTGAGCCGGGCGTGGTGACACACACCTGTAATCCCAGAACTCAGGAGGCTGAGGCAGGTGGATGGCTGTGAGTTTGAGGCCAGTCAACTGCATAGGAGATCCTGGCTCAAAAAGACCCAAACGACAAAACCACCCTTGTTTGTGGGGCATGTCTAGGTTGTTTAGTGCCAGGCTTTTTTTTTTTTTTTTTTCTTTTTTTTTTTGAGACATGGTCTCAGTATGCAGTTCAGGCTGGCCTCAAACTCACAGCCATCCTCCTGCCTCAGCCTCCCCAGTGCTGGGATTACAGGCATGGGCTACCACGCCCGGCACGCCGGGCTTTTTAGCCATGGTTGGCCAAGACGGTCTCCGCAAGACGCAGACAGGGACCCGGCCGCGGGCTCTGGTCTGTGCATATTTATTCTATGGCGTCCACAGGCAGGTATTTACAGATGCAGGTGGGCCACAGCCGGGCGCCGTAGGACCTTGCAGACCCGTTCAGCCCCTGCCCGCAGCGGCGCCAGCTGTGGGCGGCCGCGGGGAGGCGCTGGGGATTATGGCTTCGCCCGGAGCACGGGAGCACATTCCTGAGCGCTGACGGCGGGGGCCGGGCCGCCCGCAGGCCCTGCGCCCGCGGGAGCGAGTCCCTGAGCTGGCGGGAGGGCCCG